TGTGTGTGTATACACACACGCACACACACACCACATCTTCTTCTTTAAATTTTTTTTTTCAACATTTTTTATTTATTTTTGGTACAGAGAGACAGAGCATGAACGGGGGAGGGGCAGAGAGAGAGGGAGACACAGAATCGGAAACAGGCTCCAGGCTCCGAGCCATCAGCCCGGAGCCCAACGCGGGGCTCGAACTCACAGACCGCGAGATCGTGACCTGGCTGAAGTCGGACGCTTAACCGACTGCGCCACCCAGGCGCCCCAACACATCTTCTTTATCCATTCATCCATCGATGGACATTTGGGCTCTTTCCATACTTTGCCTATTGTCAATAGTGCTGCTAGAAACATGGGGGTGCATGTGTCCCTTCAAAACAGCACACCTGTATCCCGTGGATAAATGCCTAGAAGTGCAATTGCTGGGATGTAGGGTAGTTCTATTTTTAGTTTTTTGAGGAACCTCCATACTGTTTTCCAGAGTGGCTGCACCAGTTTGCATTCCCATCAATGTGATTCTTATCTTTGTTTGTAAGTATGGCTTTTTCTTTGGCTTCTTGCAGAATTCTTTTTTCTTTACTTTTGATTTTCTGTAATTTGAAAATGATATGCCTAGGTGTAGTTGTTCTGGGCATTTATCCTGCTTGGAGTTCTTTGAGCTTCCTGAATCTGACATTCATTTAGGGAAATTCTGAGTCATTATCGTTTGAGATATTTCCCTCTGTTCCTTTTGTTCTTTCTTCTCTTTCTGGTAATCCCATTACACATGTTACACCTGTTGTAGTTGTCCCACAGACTAGATATTCTATTGACTTTTTTAAAAGTCTTTGTTCTTATTCTGTTTGTTTTTCAGTTTTTGAGGATTCTGTCCATATGTTCTTCTTTCCTCAGCTGTGTCAAGTGCACTAATAAGCCTATCACAGGCAATCTTCATTTCCGTTACAGTGCTTTTTAATCTCTAGTGTTTCTTTTTGGTTCTTTGTTAGTATGTCCATTTTTTTTTATGTTGCTTATGTGTTTTTGCATGCTGTCTACCTTTTCCATTAGGGCCTTTAGCATATTAATCATAGTTTTAAATTTCCAGTCTGATAGTTCTTTTCTTTTAAAAGATATTTTAAAATGTTTTTTATTTAGTTTGAGAGAGAGAGAGAGAGAGAGATAAAGAGGGTGGAGGGGCAGAGAGAGAGAATCCCAATCAGGCTTCATGCTGTCAGCACAGAGCCCGATGTGGGGCTCCATGCCACCAACGGTGAGATCATGACCTGAGCGGAAATCAAGAGTCAGACACTTAATCGACTGAGTCACCCAGGTGCCCCTCCAGGCTGATACTTCTAACATCCCTGCCAAGTCTGGTTCTGATGCTTGCTCTGTCTCTTCAAACTGTGTTTTTTGTTGTTTTTTGTTTTTGTTTTTGTTTTGCCTTTTGGTTGGTATGCCTTGTGACTTTTTCTTGATAGTCCTGCATGATGTACTGGGTAAAAGGAACTGCTGAAAGTAGGCCTTCCAGTAAGTAGGAGGGGCAGTAAGTACTAGGCCTGTAGGTACAAGTGTCCTGTAGCCCTGTGATCAGGTCTCAGTCTTTTAGTGAGCCTGGGTCTCTGCTCTGTGGGCCTAAGTGTTCCCAGTTTCTTTTTCCTGCCTCAGGTGGGACCGGATGGCCGTAGGGGACTGGAGTTGGGCATTTCCCTGCCCCCAGGTCGGCTAGGCTCTGATTAAGCGGTTTCCCCTGAGGGCAGGCCTTGTTCCGAACAGAATGCTCAGACCTATTTAAAAATGGTCTCTCTTCCGTTATCTCAGCAGAAGCAGAAGGCGATTTTTCTCTGGTATTTACTGTGAGCTTCTGAATTCCTGGAGGTAAATCTGGCAATATTGTGAGCCTCCCTATGACTAGATCCTCCTGGAGTTTTTAACTCTGAGAGTTGTCCACAGTGATCCTCTAGCAAATTGTCAGTCATGGTTCATGTTTTGCCACCCCAGCTCTGTTTCCTCAAGCATTCTGCTGGTAAATCTTATCTCAGATAAGCCACAAGTCCCTGTGTTTGCCTGTCTCTCTAATCCTAGGGCATCGGTTTGCCCTTTGTCCTTCTCTCTCTTTTGGATCCAAGAAGAATTTTTTTTAACGTTTATTTATTTTTGAGAGACAGAGACAGAGTGAGGGTGGGGGAGGGGCAGAGAGAGAGGGAGACGCAGAATCCGAAGCAGGCTCCAGGCTCCGAGCTGTCAGCCCAGAGCCCAAGGGGCGGGGGGGGGGGGGGGGGGGGGGGGGCTCGAACGTATAAACAGTGAGATCATGACCTGAGCTGAAGTTGGACGCTTAACTGATTGAGCCACCCCACCCAGGCGCCCACCAAGAAGAATTGTTGATTGTTCAGTCTGTTCAACATTTTACTTGTTGGGTTGGAATGGCAACTTCCAGGCTTCTTACATGTGAGACTGGGAAGCGGAAGTCCTCATATAAGATTTTTAAAACATCTATATGATTCAAATAAATAAATAAATAAATAAATAAATAAATAAATAAATAAATAACATGTATATGATTTAAAAGTGATAACATAAGACAAATACCTGAGTACAGTCCTCTGATTTCCTATCTCTTGTCAGATTTTACATTTTTTTGTCTTATTGCTCTAATTTTATGGAAATTTCCTTGATGTTTTCTTTCACTGAGTTTTTCATTTATCTTCTCATGTTTTAATTTTCAGAAGCTTCCCTCCTCCCTTTGAGAATTTTTCTTATTTCAGGGTGCAATATTTTGTTTTATCTGAGGACATTAATTATATATACATCTTTTAACCTTTCCCTGGAAAATATTTCTTTTTTTTTTTTTTTTTTTTTTTTTTTTTTTTTTTTTTTTTTATCTCCCCCAGGTTGTTTGGGAATCTGGTTTTCAGATTGGATTTCCCTCCTTGGATGCTTGGTGGTTGTTGTGTACTCATAATTATGAGTGGAAAATTAGAACATTGTTTGAAAGCTTTGTAGGTGGTGGGTCTTAGGGACACGATATGGCTGAGTCCTTGACTTGCCTTGGAATGCTTCCCTTTTGGAGGGCCATTCACATCTCCCAGAGAAGACTCCCTGATACAATATGGGGGAACCTCTGCTGGCTAAGGATTCTGTCTTCTTGGGTCTCCTAAATCAAATGAGGCTTATATCAACTTTATAGCTTCTAAGTTTTTGTGGCTGTTGACTTTTCTTTTTGCCCTTGTGAGTTTAGGCTCTTCTCTTTTCTCTCCCTCCCCAATGTGGTATCAATAACGATATAATTACTAAAATCTTTTTATGGGAGGTGCCTGGCTGGCTCAATGGGTAGAGATTGTGACTCTTGATTTCAGGGTCAAGAGTTCAAGCCCCACATGGGGCATGAAGACTACTTAACAAAAGAAAACAGAACAAAACAAAAACTCTTTCTGTGGGTCTTTTTGTCCTTAGGATAATCTCATTAGGGATGTCCAATCAAATTACTGAGCTTTAAAGTCACTTGAAAGAATTCCCTTCTGGTGACAATACAGATATGTTGATATATGGTTATGAATGGCAAAACATTATAGTGGTTTGCTTTTGATTTCTAGGGATATTTTTTCTTTTGATTTTATTTTGTTTCATAATTATGTATGGTTCCAAACTCAAAGCTACAAAATGAAGTGCACTTAGTGAAACGTAGCTTCTATCTCTACCCCATCTGCCCTGTTCCCATGTCGGCAGCTATTTTCTTTAAAATAGATACCTTGCTTCCTCACTTCTCTTTATTCTCTTACCGTGATTTATTTTCCTTTGTATTTCTTATCATGCCTGACACTATTACCTTCTTTCACTGATAGAATGTAAGCTTCAAGAGAGCAGGGACTTGAGATGTGCTAAAATAAATACATTTCTCAAATCTTATTTAGGGCCATTCAAAGGGATATTTGTGTTGATTTTTCCCCCCTTTTGGGTATAGGTTAGCTGTGTACTTTTTAAAAAATTTATATTATTTGCTGTGTCACATCAACACATTAATTATGCCTTCACAACCATTTATCTATCTATCTATCTATCTATCTATTTATTTATTTATTTAAAGTTTATTTCTTTTGAGAGAGGAAGAATGTGCGTGAGTGGTGGAGGGGGAGAGAGAGGGGGAGAGAGAGAGAATCTCCTCACTGTCAGTGCAGAGCCTGACTCAGGGCTTGAACTCACAAACCATGAGATCATGACCTGAGCTGAAATCAAGAGTCGGACGCTTAACCAGCTGAGCCACCCACACGCCCCACGTTTACGGCCATTTAAAATCACACAGGCAATGTGATAGAGTGGACATACCAGTGAAAAGGAGTGAGGGGCCCCTGCGTCTGAGCCCAGCTCTGTTCCCACATACAGATGATGTAGGAGTAGGTGACGATGGCCTGTGGCATGTGCTGCCGTGGCTGAGAAGCCCCAGCTTCCACATCTCGCTCAACAACCATTCAGGACACAGGAGTGTTTGTTATGCAGGAGGATGGGGGTGCTCCAACACTGGTGTGAACTAGACTTTGTTTGCAGTCCGTTGTGCTAGAATGTGACATGTATGTTCTGAAAATTACCACAGTCTGAAAATATTGCTCAGTAAAAACCACCGAGTTTATGGGCAAATTGGAATTGGAGGCATAATACTCCAGACATTGGTGAGTGACATATTAAAAAGAACACGATTGAAACGTTAGCACAGTTTTCCCGTGCGTGTTAGATGGTGGAGAAATACATATCACTGAAATAAATATGACACTTTGTCTCGTAAAGACCGGATTGTTTCTAGAAACGGGCGTTGAAGAGCTGCGGGCTGTGCATTCAGCTGGGTGCAGCGTCTTCAGTGTTTCTCCTCGCGGTTTTTACCTGCTTTTACTCATGGAGGAAACTGCAACATAAGCAAGTGGTCAATTTGTGTCGTGCTCAGATTTTTCCTAATGATCGTGTTGGAACAAGTTACGTCTTGTGAGCAGATGGTCGAGCAGAACTGACTGTATTTTCCTCTCTCTCTCTTTTAGATGACATGCCAATGGGAGCTGCTGGCAAGCGCGCTTCAAACGAGTTCGTGGTGTGTGGAGGGTATGTTTACGTATATTAAATGAAAAGATTGCTCTCATTTTGAATTTTGTGAGGAAAGTTAGGGGACTTTGACTGTGTTCCTGATTCTTAAAATTTAGTTTCACAATGTGTCGTTTTTTGTAAACAAAGTTTAAATTGTGGCAAAACACATGAAATCTGTCATCTTGGCGTATTTAAGCTTAACAGTGTAGTAGCGTTAAGTATATTCACGGTGTGGTGCAACCACTCTCCAGAACTTTTTCGTCTTGCAAAAGTCAAACCCAGTACTCATTATGTAATAGCCTTCCCCATTTCTCCCATCCCTAGGCACTGGTAACTACCATTCTGCTTTCTGTTTCTATGGATGTGACTATTTTATATACCTCAAAAAAGTAGGATATACAACACGTGTCTTTTTGTGACTGGCTTCATTCAGTCATCGTAATATCCTCAAGGTTCATCCATGTTACAGCATGTGTCAGAATTTCCTTTTTAAGGCTGAATCATATTCCATTCTACACACATACCGTATTTTCTTTATCCATTCTTCTTTCAACGGACAATTGTATTTCTTCTACCCCTTGGCTATTGTGAATACTTCTGCTATAAATGTGAATGTGCAGATACCTGTTTGAGACCCTGCTTTCAGTTATGTTGGATATATACGCAACAGTGGGGTTGCTGGATTCATATCATATTAGAAGTGTTTGTGGAGCTGCCATACTGTTTTCCTCCGTGGCTGTACCACTTTACGTTCCTACCAACAGTGTACAAGGGTTCTGGTTTCTCTACATCTTCAGTAGCACTTATTACTTCTTTTTTTGGGTGTGAGGTAATAGCTCATTGGTTTTGATTTGCAATTCTGTTAATGATCAGTGGTTTTGAGTGTCTTTTCATATACTTGTTGGCCATTTGTATGTCATTGGTTGTTGAGTGGTAGGAGTTCTTTATATATTTTGGATATTAACCCTTTATCAGATATATGATTTACAGATATTTTCTCCCGTTCCAAAGATTGTTTTTCCAGTCCTTTGAGCATAGAAGTTTTAGAATTTTATGTAGTCTCATTTGTCTATTTTGTGTGTGTGTGTGTGTGTGTTTGGTGTCATATTCAAGAAATCATTGCCTAATCCAATGTCATGAAGCTTTTCTCCTATGTTTTCTTCTAGGAGTTATTGTATTGTATTTTAGAGACCAAGCAGGAGAGAAGGGTGGGGCAGGGGTGGGGGGTGCGGAGAGAGACTCTTACGCAGGCTCTGTGCTCAGTGTGGATCCCAACATGGGGCTCGATCCCACAACTCTGGGATTGTGACCTTCACCGAAATTAAGAGTCAGATGCTCAACTGACTGAGCCACCCAGGTGCCCCACTGAATGTATTAGTTCTAAAGGCTTTTTGTGTGTGAAGTCTTTAGGATGTTCTACATTTAAGATCATGTTTCCATGAACAAAAATAATTTTACTTTTTCCATTCAAATTTGAATGCCTTATATTTCTTTTTTTTGTGCCTAATTGCTCTGGCTAAGAGTTGAATAGAAATGATGAGAGCAGGCATCCTTGTCTTGTTCCTGATCATAGAGAAAAAGCTTTCAGTCTTTAACCATTGAGTATGATGTTAATTGTGGGCTTTTTACATATGGCATTTATTATGTTGAGGTAATTTTTTTCAATTCCTAGTTTGTTGAATGCTTTTTTAAAAATTGTTTTTATTTAGAGAGAGAGAGCACACAAGCTGGGGAGAGGAGCAGAGGGAGGGGGAGAGAGAGAATTTTAAGCAGGCTCCACATTTAGCACGGAGCCCAGTGAGGGGCTCAGTCTTAGGACCCTGGGATCATGACCTGAGCTGGAAGAGTCAGATACTCGACGAGCTGAGCCCCCCAGGCACCCCTGTTGAATGCATTTTATCATGAAAGGATGTTGGGATTTTGTCAAATGCTTTTTCTGCATAAATTGAGATAGTCCTGTGGTTTTGGTCCTTTCTATTGATGTAGGTGTGTTATAAATCACATTTGGTCATGGTTTATGATCCTTTCAATGTGTTGTTGAATTTGGTTTGCTAATATTTTGTTAAGGATTTTTGCATCAAATTTCATAGGGGAAATTGTGCTGTAGTTTTTTGTTTTTGTAGTATCTACGTGTGGTTTGGTATTAGGATAATGCTGAACTCATGGAATGAGTTTGGGAGTATTTCCTCCTCTTTAATATTTTGGATGAGTTTGAGATGTTGATGTTCTTTCTTTCTTTCTTTCTTTCTTTCTTTCTTTCTTTCTTTCATTTATTTAATTTTTGAGAGAGAGACTGAATGAAAGTGTGGGAGGGGCAGAGAGAAGGAGACACAGAATCCGAAGCAGGCTCCAGGCTCTGAGCTGTCAGCACAGAGCCCCATGGGGGGCTCGAACTCACAAACCATGAGATCATGACCTGAGCCGAAGTCCAACGTTTAACCAGCTGAGCCACCCATGCACCCCTGATGTTAATTCTTTAAATGTTGGGTAGAATTCACCAGTGAAAGTCTTAGGCTTTTTTTGGTGTTGGAAGGTTTTTGATTACTGATCAAGTCTCCTTAGTTATGGGTCTGTTCAGATTTTCTCGTTCTTTATCATCCAGTCTTGGTAGCCTGTGTGTGTGTAGAAATTTATACATTTCTTCAGGTTATCCAGCTTGTTGACAAGTATTTTGCAATTTCTTAAGATTTGTTTTGTGATCTAATGTGTGGTCTATCCTGGAGAGCGTTTCGTGTATGCCTGAGAAGAACGAATGTTCTTCTGTTGGTGGGAGGAGTGCTCGGTGTGTGTCTACAAGATCCAGTTGGTCTAGAGTGTTGTTCAAGCCCGGGTTCTTTATTGATCTTTTATCTGGTTGTTCTATCCATTATTGAAAGTGGGGGTACAGCTATTATTATGGAATTATCTATTTCTCCCTTCAATTCTGTCAGTATTTGCTTGATCTATTTGGGAAAGCTGATGTTTGCTGCATAAATATTTATAATTGTTATATTTTTCTGGTTAAGTGACTCTTTAATCATTATACATTATGTCCTTTTTTGTATCTTGTAACAGTGTTTGACTGAAAGTCTTTTTTGTCTGATATTATAGCTGTGCCTGCTCTCTTCTGGTTACCATTTGCATGGGATATTCTTTCACTTTCAGCCTAATAGGGAAAGATAGATTACTGTCATTTTGTTACTTTTATGTATATCTTGAGGCTTTTTGGTCCCTCATTTCCTCTCTTGCTACCTTTCTTTGTGTTTTGTTGACCTTGTTGTAGTGACATGCTTCAGTTTACATTTCCTATCGTGTGTATTCTATAGATATATTCTTTGTGATTACTATTGGGACTACATGAAATATCCTAACAGTTACAACAATCTCATTTAACTGATAACTTCAATTGCCTGCAAAAACTCTACTCCTGGGGCGCCTGGGTGACTCAGTTTGTTAAGTATCCGACTTCAGCTCAGGTCATGATCCCACAGTTCGTGAGTTCGAGCCCTGCATCAGGCTCTGTGCTGACAGCTTGAAGCCTGGACCCTGCTTCGGATTCTGTCTCTCTCTCTCTCTCTCTCTCTCTCTCTCTCTCTCTCTCTCTCTCTCACACACACACACACACACACACTCTCTCTCTCTCTCTCTCTCAAAAATAAATAAACATTAAAAAAATATTTTAAAAAACCCTCCTAATGGAGAGTATGGGAGTACACTACCCCCATTTATGTTATTGATGTCACAAATGGCATCTTTATATGTTCCTTTTTCTTGTAAATTTTTTAAATGTTTTTGAGAGAGAGAGAGAGCACGAGTAGGGGAGGGGCAGAGAGGAAGACAGAATATGAAGCAGACTCCAGGCTCTGAGCTGTCAGCGCAGAGCCGGATGTGGGGCTCAAACCCACAATCTGTGAGATCATGAGCTGAGCCAAAGTCAGACGTTTAGTCAACTGAGCCACTCAGGCACCCCATGTGTTTCTAATAATATCATAGATTTATGGGCTTTGGGGTACTTTTGTCTCTTACATGGTATATAAGAATTGGGACATGCTGATCTTAAACGAGAGGGGAAAATAGTGATAGCAGGACTACATAATGGCTCTGAAAGCTTCTCTTCTGTCATCGGTCTGTTTCCCTCTGGTTTGAGAACAGCATGTCCTAACTGGGAGCTGTTCTTTCAACCTACCTCCCGGGATTTGTGGCAGGAGTGCCCACACCAGGGAGTATAGAAATGGGTCCAGAGAGAGGTAGTGAGTATTTTGGAAACAAAAAACAAAAAAACACTCTACCATAAGATATTAAGTGCAGGTGAAAACAGAAATTACTAAAAATACATTGAAATTATGCTGTATGCAAAAATAAAATGGTTTGATGCAGGTACAAGACATATTGTTTGTGAAGTCGTTAAAACTTTGCACCTCCGTATCCCAAACTGTCATCTCATATGCCAGTCTATGCAATGTTGGTAGTAGTAGGTCTCATTCTTCCTCGGAGCCTCACTTTTGTTGAAAGTAGTTTGAAATATTTAACCTAAGTCTTTCCGGGTAAATTTCTGACCCCTAGATAAAAATGACTCATTTCCGTAAAATAAAAGTGTATTGTATTTTGGGCAGCCCGCTTAGTCTTTCTAGTATTCCATGCAGGTCAAACGTGACTTTGCACATAGAGAGTCCTCTGAACTGCTTTACTTAGTGGGGGTGGGGAGGCTGTGCTGGAGACTCAGGGCATGCATAGACCTTCCCTCTCCTCATCCTGGGTTTAGGGAGTCAAGTAATGGTTAAATATTGATATTAATATAAAGCTAGACAGAAATTTGGCTTCAGTGGTCTTAGCTAGCTGGTGCTCTGGGGATTTCTCCTGGGAAGACTTTGTAGACTGAGCAGGTCTGCTTGAAGGTTCTGTCCAGAGACTGTCGGAGACCACATTTCCAGAACACCTGTCATGGCTGCTTATCTCCTCATATGCTGGGAGAGGATTGCTTAGGATTCCCTGAGAAGAGGTGCTTTGAATTATGTATGAAGTTGCTCAATTTATATCATAGAGTACTCTTACTCAGCTTCTAATTTCCCTTTGGTGAAAAGATACTAGAACTTGACGATGTATGTGTTAAAAGAAATTCCCAGATGTACTTGCTTCACTAAGTCTTTACTAACTCATTGAATTGAGACAGTAGGAATGAACATTTGTTCATTCACATTCTGATCTTTGATGGCCGTGCTGGCTATTGTCTTACTGAGGAACTTAGGCTCCCAGGCCTGTGCAAGCTCTGGGTTGCAGGCACCACAGTTGGTTAATGAAGTCTTGTAAACCTGTTTAGTTTCCGCTAGTAGAAGTTTTTGGTTTTGTTTTGTTTCATTTTCAGGTTGTAGGTAAACTTCACAATCAGATATATAGATATTAAAAACACACATTATTGTATTTAAAAGATACTTAACATTACGCTTGACACTAATGTATGTGTCAACTGTACTTCAATATGGATGGATGGATGGATGGATGGATGGATGGATGGATGGATAAATGAATACACGACAATGAGAATTACCTAAATGGAAAAATAGAGTGAGCTTATAGACAAAAAGCTAGAAACAACAGTCCTGACTGTAGCGTGGTTCACACTAAAGGTTTAGTTTTCTTGCAAGATGAGAAGTCAAAATAAATAGCTGTTGTCTTCGTTTCTTTGGCTCAAGGAAGTTGTCTCCAATTCTTTTGGCCTGTTGTTCATAGTTCAAAGGTAGTTGCTGAAGCTCCGGCAAGCATACCCACAGTCCAGGCAGGAGGAAGGAGGAAGAGTGGATCGAAGACTTCCACTTACATCTCATTGACCAGGAAAGATACATGACTACTCATGGCTGCAAAGGAGTCTGGGATGTGTCATAATTTCACTGAGCAAATTGCCATCTTCCATAAAATTTGAGTTCTGCTAGTCAGAAAGAGTGGGTGAATGGATATTGGAGAAAGCAACTAACATCTCTATTAGAGATGAGATTTTATTTAAATATGAAATGCTCTAATATTTCAAAAGCTCTAAAGTGACACTTTAGATGAATATCATATTGTTTGTTAGATAAGTATACAGTCTCTTGATATCTGTAATATTGTAATTTGAGAAAAAGTATTAGATTCATGTGGCTTTTTTGGACTTATAGGAGGACAGAAAAATGAAATAAATCATCTTTTAAGGCCCGGTATTGTCCCTGATGTGTGAAGACAGGTTGCAAATTGAATTGAAAGTCATCCAAGGACATCCTGTTTCTGAATTTATGAAAATCAAGGGGAGAGGCTGTCACAGAAACCCAGTACTAACACCTCACCATGTGGGCCTCAGATCAATAATGTGCTTTGAGAGTTGCACAGTGTTGTTTGCAATCTTTTTAAAAGTCAGAAGTTCTTTGGGAATGCTTACTGCATTCATAACTTTTGTAAACATTCCTGTCATCTTTGCTCATGAACTTCCTGTTCTTTTACCCAGCATATTTTCCTAGAAATATTTTTTTTCTCTCACATAATAACGAATAGCAGAATGTGAGCAGATGAAACTGAGTTTTGCCAACCTACGGACTTTTCCTATTGTCGTAGAGGAATGTTTTTCCAGTTTTTGTTAGAATTCTTCGTCCTCAATAAGCATCTGAATGTCTGGAGAGTCTTTTAAATGACTAATGTGATTTTCTGTGCCTTATTTTTTGAGATGATCATTTTTTATTCACATAGAAGCGATCGTTTGGCCCCTTCTAGAATCTTCTCTAAATATCACCAATGTGTCAAATGAAAGAAAAACAGGCTTACTTGGATTTCTTGCCTTTTTCAATAAATTACGGTTGCAGGCAGTGCCAGCCTACCGTGTCCCCTCACAGTGAGACGGCACCAATTCCGGTCCCTACTCAGATAAGGAATTATCAGCGCATAGAGCAGAATCTTACATCTACTGCCAGCTCTGGTACAAATCTGCATGGTTCTCCAAGGTAAGCTAGCGTTCTCTTTTCTTCTTTTTCTTTTAAAAAGTGTGTTGTTATTATTCAAAGATCTGTTACTTTCCGGGGCACCTGGCCGGCTCAACTGGTGGAGCATGCGACTCTTGATCCGGGGGTTGTAAGTTCAAGCCCCACGTTGGGTGTCGAGATTACTTAAAATTAAAATCTTTAAAAAAAAAAAAAATTGTATCCTTAGAAATAGGAAAGAGACTGCATCCATAAATTGGTACAAAGTGTTTTTGAAAATAATCAAAATCAAAAAGACCTCTTGGATGTTATAAAATATAACTGAAATAGATAAAAATAAATGTTGGAAGACAAAGTTGAGGCCGTATCTGAAATAGGTGAATCAAATAAAGAAGGTGGAAACTATGAATAAAATATATTCTTCAGGGGTGCCTGGGTGGCTCAGTTGCTTATATGTCTCTTTCTCTTTTTTTTTAATGTTTGTTTATTTTTGAGAGAGGGCAAGCGTGAGCCTGGCGGGGCAGAGAGAGAGAGAGACAGAGGATCTGAAGTGGGCTCTGTGCTGACAGTGGTGAGCCTGATGCAGGGCTCGGACTCAGGAGCCACCAGATCATGACCTGAGCCAAAGTCGGATGCTCAACCAACTGAGCCACCCAGGCACCCCAGGTGTCTGTCTCTTGATCTCAGTTCAGATCTTGATCTCAGGGTCATGAATTCAAGCCCCACACTGGGCTCCACACTGGGCATGGAGCTTGCTTAAAAACAAAAAAAAAGAAAAAATCTTCAAGTGTTAATTAATGTAGGCATTCCAGAAAGAACAAGTAAAATGGTGAAGAAGAAAATTTCCAGGAAATAATCAAGAGAAAGTTTTCCAGGATTGGAGAACACAAGATTTTAGGTTAAAAGGGCCCACCTAATGTAGAGCTCAGTGAATGGAAGAAGATTCATAGGATGTAAACTGAGAAAACTTCTACAAAGAGCATTTTGGCAGTATCTGTGAAGATTATTAACGGATGTATCTTTTGAACCCAGCACTCTAACTTCTGGCAATTTATTCTATGGATATACAGTCCTTGCCTGTGTATGAAATTACATATACACACAGGTCGTTAATTGTTACAATAGCAAAGGATGAGAAGTAAGCCAAGTTCCCACCAGTAAGTGACTGCTGTAAGGTCCACCTGTGACAACAGAGCACCTTCCATAAAAAGAGGAAGGAAGCTCTCTGTGCACTAAGGTAGAAACATTTCCAAGATATTTTATAAAATGAAAAAAGCAAAGTGATAACAGGATTAGCAGTGGTTTCCAAAGTGTGGTTCACGTGTGGCTCCCTTCCAGAAGGTCCATGAGGTCAAACCTGTTTTCATAATGATACTGGGACATCGTTTGCTTTCTCTCACTGTGTGGACATGTGGACATGCACTGATAGTGCAAAAGCAATGACGTGCAAATTGCTGGTGCCTTAAAATGCATCACGGTGGTGGCACCCAACCACACTGTGAGTTTTTGTATATTTTGCCACCAGCACTGTGGTACCAAGGAATTTCTTTAATGAAGCCTGCAAAGTTATTATTTCTCTTTGGAAATCACCACCTCGAGTGGCACGTGGGCATAAAGCACTGTTGCAGCAGATTGGAGGAGTTCTCTTAAGGAGAAGCTCTCGTGTGATTCAGTTGCAAGCTGAACCATAGCCCCTTTTACACGGAGCGCCGTGTTTTCGTGAAAGAGCAACTGACAAACTCCAGCTGTGGGCGTCTGGCGGCTCATGAGCCAAGTCTGCCACCACCTAGAAAATAAGTATCGTGAAATGTGAGCTCTTGAGCAAAAATTAGAGTTTTTGAAAACTCTTGATTCACTGCTGTGATCTTGACAGCTTCTGCTATGCCTTGACAGCCACTTCTGTTAAGGTTTGTGGTGATATTTTGGTATGAATGTGACTTTTTGATACCCTGTGATGTGGTCGACATTTGGAATACCAACCAACATTTTTCAAGTGACCGAATGTTTAAAAACCATGCATAGATAAAATACCCAGTCCAGGGGCTCCTGGGTGGCTTAGTTGGTTGAGCGTCCAACTTCGGCTCAGGTCATGATCTCGTGGTTCGTGAGTTCGAGCTCTGTGTCGGGCTCAAAAGAACAAGATCCAGTCCAAGTACAAGGGACTTTGCAAAAGATTAGAGTCTAATGTAATGGAGTACAAGATTTCATTGAAGTAGTTTCAGATTCTACATTGCAGCTAATCTTTTTTAAATGTCCATTTGCTGAGTTTTGGTATAGTATCAAAGATGAGCATCACAATTATTTGAAAAGGCTACCAAAATATTCCTCCTTTTTTTGAGGAGGAAGGCTGTATAAGGCTGTATTTTCTTCATGTACATCCCCCCATATGTACTGTGTTACATAAAAGATTGAATGCAAAAACCAGTATGAGAATCCAACTGTCTTCTATTGAGCCAGACATAAGAGATCTGAAAAAATGTAAAACAATGCCATGCTTCTCATGAATGTATTTTATTTGGAAGATGTAATTAATTTTCATAATCTTATGTTACATGTAATAAGTTTGTTACTTTTAATGAATTACTAGTTACAAAATTTTTTCAGTTTTAACTTCTCATACAGTAAATATCAATAGGTATAAGTTGCATGAACAAAAACTCTGGGATATTCAGTAATTTTTAGGAGTATAAAGGGAACCTCAAACCAAAAAAAATTGAAAATAGTTAAATCAAGATGGAAGTAAGATTTTATTTTCAGTCTGTTTGCTTGTGTGTAAATTAAGGAATTCTGGAAGGATATGTTAGAAACTGGAAATAATGGTAACCTTTGGAGTAGGATTGAGGAAATGTTGAGAATCAGGCAGACAGGGTACAGGATGGGAGGGAGACTTCGCACCATGTAATTTTATACATTTTACATTTGTTCCATGTGACCGTATCATATATTTTAAAAAATTCTGGGTAGCTCGGTTGGTTAAGCGTCTGACTCTTGGTTCCAGCTCAGGTCATGATCTCACGGTTTCATGAGTCCGAGCCCCACGTTGGGCTCTGTGCTGACGGCGTGGAACCTGCTTGGGACTCTCTCTCTGCCCCTCCCCCACTTGCTCTGTCTCCGTCTCTCTCAAAAAAATAAACTTTAGGGGCACCTGGGTGGCGCAGTCGGTTAAGCGTCCGACTTCAGCCAGGTCACGATCTCGCGCTCCGTGGGTTCGAGCCCCGCGTCGGGCTCTGGGCTGATGGCTCAGAGCCTGGAGCCTGTTTCCAATTCTGTGTCTCCCTCTCTCTCTGCCCCTCCCCCGTTCATGCTCTGTCTCTCTCTGTCCCAAAAATAAATAAACATTGAAAAAAAAAAAAAAAAGAAAATTCTATTCCATGGCAGGTTGTCAGGAAGTTTTAGAAAGAAAAAAACAAAAAAACAAAAAAAAACAAGACAGAAATAGAGTCCTAGAACCTGCCAAAGAGGGAACAATTTTATTTTTCTTTTCAGATCTGCAGCGGTACGAAGGTCTAACACCAGCCCTATGGGCTTCCTCCGGCTGGGATCCTGCTCCCCGGCACCAGCAGACACAGTGCAGACAGTTGGACGGAGACTCTCCACTGGGTCTTCCAGACCTTATTCACCTTCCCCTTTGGGTAAGGAGAGCAGAGCTGTTGTTTTCAACTTTTTTTATTCGCTGTGACAAATCTGACGTGACGCTCTTTATGTCAGTCGTGACGGTGGCTCGCGACGACAGCGACTCTCAGCTGATGGGGAGCCATATCCTTCCCCCAGCTCCACCCTATACCTGGCCCCCGCCTGAGCATCTCTGTGTAAATTTGTTAGGACCGCTACTGGAAATGTAATAAATGAGCCTTATGGATAAAAAGTCTCTCCATTGGGCTTGGGCTGTAAACACACAACAGCGGAAACCCTAGAGGAAAGTACATGAAAGGCCTACCCACTCAGCACTCCGATTTACGAGGATTAGAAGACAATCGTGTACCTTGCGTGCTGGCTCGTGTTCTCCAGAGGCCTCCCAGCTCTGGGAGGAAGATGGTAGCGGCTTCGTCACGGATCTTTCCACCTCTCGTGGAAACCGTACGCAGGGCAAGGGGAATGCTAGAACAAGCAGGGACGCAGCAGCAGCAACAAACCAAAAAGCGAACTTTAAACCACAGTTTCGGTGGAATCGAGAGAGAAAGTGCTCCAACTTCAGGATATAAGCAAGAGAGGCCAAAGCCGCTGAGGTGGCAGAGTGCGTGAGAGACCTCACCGGTGTGGTGGAGAGGGGCAGGGGATGCAGAGAGGGCCCGGGCAGCAGGTCTTAAGGCCTCGTGGTGCAGATCCCAAACTTGCCCCCCCCAACCCCCGCAAGGTATATGAATGTATTTATATATTTTTTACTTCTAAAAGAAGAGGGCCCCACCCTCAGGCAAAACTGCTGGAGTAAGAGTGAGGGCACGTGAGGAAATTTCAGGAGGAGGCGGAGTGAGAAGGATGGAAGTGGTGCCCAGGAGCCCTGATTCAAAAAAACACAAAACCATAATGATAGTGTTTTTAAAAATTTATTTCTCCACCTCACCTGCAATGGTTTTGAGGCTGTTTCTTAGCTGAAAAATCTTCCCCGAACAAAATCCTGGCCCTCCTTCACCCCCTCAGCAGCGCTTGGGGCACTTCAGGGTCTCCGGAGACAAGGTCCAAGCCTTATGCTTGCACTCAAGGAAAAGGCCCTTCCTCGGGACCTAAGCGTCGCCTGCCCGCCTAGCTACTGGGTCAGTGCCTTTTTGTTTTTATAGACCCATGTCTCCTGTCTGCTTAAACTCCCTGGGCCTTCTCAGCGCTTCCTTCCTCCTGTTAGTTTGGGTTCTCAGAGGTGGATGCAGAGAAGGTAGCTGCAGGAACGTGCCAGAGTGACTCGGGAGACACCTGTGATGGATCTGGGGTCGGGGGCAGCAGGAATCTGGGGGAGCCCCTTCAGATCACCTTGCAGGTCTGACTCCTGGGAGGGGGCGAGGAAGCTAGGAGGCGTGGGCGGGGGCGTCTTGACTAGCGTGAGCTCTCGGAACCTTTTAGCCAGGCCCAAGGGACGCCCCCAAACACTGCATTGTCCAGGTTCCCTGACCTGCTGGAATGACCTGAATTAGTGCCTCGCCCACATGCGGTTGGTCACTGTCTGGGAGCAGCCCTGGGGAACTGGCCTTGTCAGGAGCCTCAGGGATGGGGTGGGTGCAGAGGGACAGCAGCTGGGCTGTGAGTCAGCTGTGCCCCCTGCGGCTCCACCCGCCTCAAACACTGCAAGCTCTTGGTACTTCTCTGTCTTAAGTGACCTACCTGTTAACAGGCTTTAATTTGTTTACGTGGCTTCCTTTCCTGGTGATCTTGTTTCAAGGCAGAGTAGATGGTAGCGTGCCCAGCACCCAGCACATGGGTCGCTCAGTAAGTGTCAGCAGAAATAAATCTCTGCCTAATCAAATTTGGTGAACTATGATGTACTGTGCAATTTGTGCATGTGTTACCTGTTTCCGTCCTTCGTTGGTTTTGAATCATTTCTCCTTTTCCCCATTTCCCCGTTCATAGTTGGTACCATTCCTGAGCAATTTAGTCAGTGCTGCTGTGGGCATCCTCAGGGTCATGAATCCAGGAGCAGAAACTCATCAGGTAGGAAATATATTTGGTGTACTAATAATTTTAATCCTGTTGTAAGTAGATTTGTGTTATGTTTCTCTAGTCTTATCAAGAGAATAGAACGGGCGTGAAATATTTTATCTGTTATCCTACTGTTTAGAATCTTGGTCTCATATGTTTTAGTGTATCATCCAATCCACAAGGTATTTCTCTTTGGGTAGATGATTCTTTTATGAAAGTAAGTCTTGGAAGTTAAGTAACTGAGCTAAATTTTGGTCATTGTCACAAAGATCATGAAAATCAATCTAGAAAATGAAATTTCATTGTTTTGATTACTACTATTCTAGATAAGAGCTACCTGAGATAAACAGGAAATAGAGATGTTTATTTGCTTTATTATATAATATGTATATGCCTGAAAAGATGTGTGTAAATCACTTTTGTAAGTCAAGGTTTATTGTATGTGCATTTGAAGAGTTGGCCAATTAAAGGAATCCTGTGGTACTTAGAATGTCACTCTTTTCTTAGTTTTTCATATTTTGTGTTTCCCTAAAAATAAGTCTTAGGTAACTTTCTCCAAATCATAACATTTTGCTGTTAATTTTATTTACTTGTGTGTATATATGTGTACATATGTACACATGGGTACGTATACGTGCATATACACACACACATACACACGGCAGTGCCCAGTTCTGAAAGATAAAATCCCAGATTTAGGAAGAGAGTAAGCTAGGAGTGGGCAGTAGCAGCAAAAGCTCTAATTTCTTTTTGGGAAGATGATGGTTATGGGTCACCAAGGAGATTTATAGATCCTTAGCATTATTGGTGGTAGTGTGGCTTGCAAGAAGCTCCAAAGAATTTGTAACTGAAGCTCCAGGCTTACGTAGTAGACCTTAAATTGGCCACAACAAGGTTTGTGTGGGGAATTCTCTTGCTGCTGCCAACTGTTTACCATATCAAAACCCTATTTCGGGGTACCTGGGCGGCTCAGTGGCTTGAGCATCTGACTCTTGATTTCAGCTCAGGTCATGATCTCGTGGGATCAAGCCCCACATCAGGCTCTATTCTGACAGCCTGGAGCCTGCTTGACATTCTCTCTCTTCTCTCTCTCTGCCCCTCCCCTGCTCATGCTCATATGTGTGTGCTCGCTCTCTCAAAGAAAACCCCAAAAAGATCCTATTGATATGGTGTGCTCTTGATATGATGTGCCCTTAAGAGGCAAGAATCTGTGGACAAGTGTTTTCTTTGTAGAGAATATGGACTTTTTAGGTTATAAGTGAATTTCACTAATAAAACTGATAAAAGAATTATCCATAAAAATGAATTAGCTTGTTATTTTTAGACAAGTAAAATAAAATCCTAGAAAACTGTATTATATAATTATATATATATATATATCTCCCCATATCTAAAGGGTTATTCTGGGTTGCTTTGAAAAGTTTCTTTTAGCTGCTACGTGAGAAAAGAGAATAATTACATTGGTATCCCCAAAGTATATATTCATATAAAGAGTAGGAATCATTTTGTTCAATATAGGTTTTTGTAGTTTCATTAACTTTAACAGTTTATGATATAGTTCTCTTTTGTGCTAATCAGACTGTACATTAATCTGAGTTATTTGCTAGCTGCTGATAAAAACAGCCAACATACCCATCATCAGCTTCTATCTCCTGAGAATCCCAATGACTGTGGGCTTGTTACTGTTTTGTAAAAGATGCTTGAAAATAGTCACTTGCCAAATAAACAGTTTTTTAAATAGCTCCTGAAAAATATGACATTTGTTAGAATTCTCACTTTAAGAATTGTCTTCTTAACCGTTAAGTTTTGCCCCACACTTTGGGTGAACATTGGCTGCGTTCTTGGCAGGTTCTCCAGTGCCACAGGCCCAGTCACCACAGTCTCTTCTGTTGGGTGCTAGATTGCAGAGCGCCCCTACCCTCACTGACATCTACCAGAACAAGCAGAAACTCAGAAAGCAGCACTCGGACCCTGTGTGCCCATCCCACGCTGGGGTTGGGTACAGCTACTCACCTCAGCCCAGTCGGCCTGGTGGCCTTGGAACCTCTCCCACCAAGCACATGGGGTCCTCTCCTCGGAGTTCAGACTGGCTCTTTAAAACTCCTTTACCAACAATCATTGGCTCTCCTACTAAGGTATGTTTTTTAAACTCTTTGGTCAGTGTTAGGACTTTGTTAAATTAGCATTTGTTAAATGGAGCATCGAGTGCCTGATGCTGAGCCAAGGTTCAACAGTAGACCACAAGAGAAATTGAAATAGAGAATTCCATTCCTCTGTCTTGGCAGACGTATCTGGCGTGCCTCGAGAGGCCACACGGGGACGTCAAGGCAGGTGTAGACGGAGAGAGACAGGACCTGGGGCACATGCCTTTATTAGGGTTCATGGATTGAGTTCTTTGGGGTTCCTGGGCTAAATTGGTCAATTAAAACCAAAAGAATGAGATTCTGGGAAGCTCCACAGGAGTCTTATCTATGGGACATATAAGGGAAAAGCCTGGGGGAGACTTTTGACGACCAGGGCTGTCGGAGGAGTCCTATCCAGAACTTACATTTCCTTGTGACTGTGCAAACCACTGTCTAGGCCACAAGCTTACATGAGGGGCTCAAGGTCGTTTAAGGTCCTGCAGGCCATATGGCCACACAAATTGAATGCAGAGGCAGCAATACTGTGGAGTAGCCCAGCTGAACTCTTGACAGTAGGTCATGAGCCAGTGTATAGTATAGTTAAGTACAGCAGTCCTTACCCCCAGGGGATATGTTCCAAGACCCTCAGTGGACAGCTGAAACCACAGATAGTACTAAACCCTATATGTACTGTTTTTTTCTTATGTACACATACTTACGATAAAGTTAAATTTATAAATTAGGCACAATAAGAGATTAATAATAGTTAATAACAAAAGAGAACAGTTACATATGCTGCAATAAGAGTTATATGAATGTGATCTCTCTCTCTCTCTCTCTCTCTCTCTCTCTCTCTCTCTCTCTCTCAGAATACCATACTGTGGTCACTACAGTGGGATGTGATGATGTGAGATGATAAAATGCCTGTGTGTTGAGATGAAGTGGGGTCAGTGATATAGGTGTTAGGATGCAGTGTTAGGCTACTGCTGACCTTCTGATGATACCTCAGAAGGAGGATCATCTATTCCAGACCAAGGTTGACCGCGGGAAACGAAACCACGGATAGGGAGACTCTTGTACACTAGGGAAAAGATTCGTGGTGAAAACAGCTACAATTTAATGAACACTTGCTGGGTGCCAGGCACAGTCTTAGTTTAGGCACAGTCTAAAGCCACTTTACTTCCTGAATGCTTTATACACATGATCCTACTTAATCCCAGAGAAAGGAAATTGAGGCTACAGGGTATGAACCAACTGCCCAGGAGTGGAAGAGCCAGTGTGTGAACCTGGGTCTGACTTGTGCTTCTGAGCGCCGCACCGCGCAGCCTGACAACTCTGAATGCTGCCCACATGGTAGTAACTCGCTTCCACATGTTTCTTCCTCAGACCACAGCTCCTTTCAAAATACCTAAAACACAAGCGTCTTCCAACCTGCTAGCCTTGGTTACTCGTCATGGGCCTTCTGAAGGGCAGTCTAAAGATGGGAGTGACCCACGGGAATGCTCTCATTGTCTCTTAGTACAAGGAAGTGAGAGGCAGAAGTCTGAGCAGCAGAACAAGGCAGTGTTTGGCAGGTAAAAGACAGCATTTCCTTCCAGCCTTTGATATGAAAACTGTAATGGTACATACATTTCTGGTATAAAGACAACCAGACCAAATTGGGTTAGTAGCTGGTTTATGCCACACGGTTAATAATATGAACTGTGTACCCTTAGAATCTCTGAAAACCTACAGGTGCTTCCTGCAACTGTGAATACAGAGCTCTCACTGAATTTCCTGAATGTTCTATCTCTGCTTTTTGTTTATTTCAGTTATTGAAGTTCATCTCTGCCTTGAATTGTTTGGTATCTATTTTTTGTCTCCTTCTTCTCTGACTTCCCGTTAACCCTTTTGTGGCTTGGCTTAAATCCCCCTTATTATTTATTTTTTAAATTTCTTTTTTCAACGTTTTTTTATTTATTTTTGGGACAGAGAGAGACAGAGCATGAACGGGGGAGGGGCAGAGAGAGAGGGAGACACAGAATCGGAAACAGGCTCCAGGCTCCGAGCCATCAGCCCAGAGCCTGACGCGGGGCTCGAACTCACGGACCGCGAGATCGTGACCTGGCTGAAGTCGGACGCTTAACCGACTGCGCCACCCAGGCGCCCCAAATCCCCCTTATTATTTAAATGTCTGGATTTTTAAAGTATACTTTTCCGTTATTAACGCCATTCTTCTTTTTAGGTCTGTCAGTACTGGGAAATTATCAGATCAACAAGTAAAGATACCTTTAGGTGGACATCAGGGCAGCACGGACAGCTTAAATACAGAACGACCAATGGATATAGGTAAGACAAATGTGGTTTCTTTTTAGGCAGGTAATTTGTGAGTGCATGCGTTGGTTTCCTATAATTGCTGCCACAGATTACCACAAGCGTGTAGCTTAAAACAACATAAATGTGTTATCGTACATTTTTGGAGGTCAGAGGTCTGCAGTGGGTCTTACTGGGCTAAAATCAGTGTGTTGACAAGGCTGCATTTCTTCCGGAGGCTCTAGGGGGGAATGCATGTCCTTGCCTTTTCCAGCATCTAGAGACTGCCCTCAGTCCTTGCTTGGATCCCTTCCCATTGGGGACCAGTCTAGACTCTGACCTTCTGCCTCCCTATTCTACCTTTAAAGGATGCTTGTGATTACATTGGACCCACTGGATAATCCAGGATAATCCCTTTATTCTAAGGCCAGCCGATTAGCAATTTCGGTTCTATCTGCAACTTTAATTACCCTTTGCCATTTAACGTAGCCTACTTATGGCTTCCAGGCATTAGAACATGGCCATCTTTGGCTGTGTGGGAGGGCAAGAGAAAGTAATGATTTCACCTGTCTGCTTCTGTTGACTCTTCATGAACCTACTGACCCAGATTTCTTCACCCACTCCTGTCATTTCATCTTCTTTCTCAGCACAACAAGATAGGGGCTCATTAGGTATCTTGATGATCAACAGCTAGGAGTTAGAAGGAATTCTGGCCCAAGATTGGGTTATGTTGGTAGGATGATACTGGCCAAAGTGAGCTTAAATACACATATGCTCTTGAGCATTTCTTCTACTGTGAGTAGATCCTATAAAAAACGTAGGTCACTGGGATCCCCTGGCCTTTTCATAGTTGTTTCAGGGACTGTTGTGTCCACAGACTCACCTCTAGATTACTTGGACTGCTTGTCAAAAAAATAAAAACAAAGGGCAGGTTGCAGACCATAACCCAGACTTTTTAATCACATTTTCTGGGAATGGATTCTAGGATTCTGTATTTTTAATGAGCTCCCCACGTGATTATTATATACACTTAAATTTGAGAATCACTGTTGTAATCTCTTTGTTCTGGTTTTCTCTAGAATTTTTTTATTGACTCTCCCATTAGGAGAAGGAAATATTTCCAAAGAAGGAAATATCTGGATCATCAGATATCTGATTGAACATGGTTTCTAATCCAAAGAGAATGCTCCACTCTTTTCTTGCTTGCATGGTTTCTGAAGAGAAGTCCGATGTAATTCTTACCCTTGTTCCTCTATAGGTGAGGTGTTTTTTCTTTGGCTTCTTTCAAGATTTTTTGCTTTGTCTTGATTCTCTGTAGTTTGAATATGATAGGTCTAGGTATAATTTTTTTGGTACTCATCTTGGTGTTCTCTGAGCTTCCTGGGATCTGTGGTTTGGTCTGTCATTACTACTTCATATATTTCTTCTATTCCTTTCCCTTTTTCTTCCCCTCTGATATTCCCATCATGTATATGTTATACTTTTGTAGTTGTCCTACAGTTCTTGAATATTCTGTTTTTGTTTTTGTGTTCATTCTTCTTTGTATTTGCTTTCCAATTTTGGAAGTTCATGTTGACATATCTTTAAGCTAACTGATTCTCTCCTCAGCCATGTCCATCTACTGATGAGCTCATCAAATGCATTATTCATTTCTGTTTTGATGATTTTGATGTATAATGTGTCCTTTTGATTCTTTTGTAGAGTTTCCATCTCTCTGCTTATATTATCCATCTATTCTTACATGTTGTTTGCTTTTTCCATTAGAGTCCTTAGCATATTAATCACAGTTATTTTAAACTCCTAATCTGATAATTCCAATCTGCTATTTGTGAGTCTGGTTCTGATGGTTACCCTGTCTCATCAAACTAGTTTTACCTTTTAGCTTCTCTTTTAATTTTTTTTTGTGTGAAAGCCTGACATGATATATTGGATAAAAGGAATTGAGTTAAATAGTATGAGGTTTTTCGTTTTTCTGGCTAGGAGTTAGGCTATGCTTAGTGTTTCCTGTACCTGTAGGTGTCAGGCTAAACTTTTCTCTGTTGTTTTTGAGTTTCCCTAGATACCCTTCCTTAAATAACATCCAACCCTTGGCTAACTATATATTTTCTCCTAAGAGTTTTATATCTTAGCTCTTACATTTAGATCTGTGATCTGCTCTGACCTATTTCTTGTGGATGATGTGATGTAGGAGTCCAACTTCATTCTTTTGTGTGTGGATATTCAGTGGTTCCTGCACTATTTATTGAAAACATTATTCTCTATTCCATTGAATTGTTTTGCCAGCCTGGTAAAAAATGTATTGACTATAAATGCATTTATTTCTGGACTCTTAATTCTATTATATCAATCTATATGTCTGTTATTATGCTGGTACCATACTGCCTTGATTACTATAGCTTTATAGTAACCAAGGAAATGTGAGTCCTCCCCCTTTGTTCTTTTCCAAGATTGTTTTGGTTATCCTGGGTCCTTGAGTTTCCAATATGAATATTAGCATCACCTGCTAAGATGAAATTTTTCCCTTGATTCACATGCTTTAACATATGAAAATCAATTAAGGTGATACATAACACTCAATATGCTAGGAATAGAAGTGAGTTTACTCACCTGATCAACCCACAACTAACATCATACTTAATGGTGAAAGATTGAATGCTTTTCCCCCAAGATCAGGAACAAGACAAAGATATTTGCTGTCATCACTTCCATTTTACATCGCATCAGTGGCTTTTGCCAGGGCAACTTGGCAAAAATGACTACAACAGTACAACAAACAAACAAAACACCCAGCTTGGAAAGGAAGAAATAAAATGACCTCTATTCACAGATGGCGTGATCCTGTATATAGAAAATCCCAAGTAATCCACTAAAAAACTATTTGAACTAATAAATAAATTCGGTAGCATGACAGGGTATAAGATCAATATCCAAAAATCCACTGTATTTCTTAGACACTGGCAAGAAACAATCTGAAAATGACATTAAAAAAACAATTCTATGTAAGATACCATCAGAAATAAAACACTTGGGGGGCTCCTGGGTGGCTCAGTTGGTTGAGAGTCCGACTTCAGCTCAGGTCACAATCTCACAGTTGGTGGGTTCGAGCCCCGCATCAGGCTCTGTGCTGACTGCTTGCTCAGAGCCTGGAGCCTGCTTCGGATTCTGTGTCTCCTCCTCTCTCTGCCCCTCCCCTGCTCACGCTTTGTCTCACTCTGTTTCTCAAAAATAAATAAATGCAAAAAAAAAAAAATTTTTTTAAATACTTAGAAATAAATTTAATAAAAGGATAAAACTTTTATTCTGAAAGTTACAAAGCACTGATAAAATAAATTAAAGAAGACCTAAATATGGAAAGAAACCCATGTTTATAGATCAGAAGACTTACTATTGTTAACTCCCCAGTTGATCTATAGATTGAATGAAACCCCTGTATGTGACAGGTCATTTTTCTCTTGCTGCTCCCAAAGTTGTCTCCTCGTCTTCAGTTTTTGCTGTTTTACTCTGATGTATCTGGGCGTGGATTTCTTTGACTTTATCTTACTTTGAGTCTGTTGAGCTTCTTGGCTATACAGATTAATGTTTTTCTTCAAACCTGAGAAATTTTCAGCCACTATTTATTTGGATTTTTTTTTTTTTTTTTTTTTTGTCTCTCCTCTCCTCCTGGTGCTTCCATCATGCATATAATACACATTATGCATAGGTACCCATAATGGTGTCTCATAGCTCTTTGAGATTCTTTTCTCTTTTCTCCTGATGCTTCAGATTGCACAGTCTCTGTAGGTTTATCTTCAAGCTCATGGATTTTTTTTCTTCTGCCAATTCAGATCTGCTGTTGAACCCCTGTAGTGAATTTTTAATTTCACTTATTCTTTTTAACTCCTGAATTTGCATTTGGGGTTTTTCTTAATAATTTCTCTGTGTATTCCTATTCTTTATTTAAGGAGACATTAATGTCATACTTTAAATTTTTTTTCTTGGGGCGTGTGTGGCTCAGTTGGTTAAGCGTCCGACTCTTGATTTTGGCTCAGGTCATGATCTCACAGTCATGAGATCAAGCCCTGCATTGGGCCCTGTGCTGGGTATGGAGCCTGCTTAAGATTCTCAATCTCTGTCATCCTCTGCCCCTCCCCAGCTTGCACATGCTCTCTCTCAAAAACATTTTTTTTCTTGAGTATAGTTGACATACAATGTTACATTAGTTTTGGATATACAACATAGCAATTCAACATCTCTATACATTATGCTCTGGTCACCATAAGTGTAACTACCATCGGTCACCATAAATGCTATTACAATATCATTGACTCTCTTCCTTATGCTGTACCTTTTATTCCCATGACTTACTCATTCCGTAACTGGAAGCCTGTGTCTCCCTTTCCCCTTCACCCATTTTGCCTTTCCCCCTACCCTTCCCCTCTGGCAACCATGAGTTTGTTCTTTGTATTTGTAGGTCTGATTCTTCCTTTTTGTTTATTCGTTTTGTTTTTCGGGTTCCACATATGAATAAAATCATTTGGTGTTGTCTTTCTCTGTCTGACTTGTTTCGTTTAGGCAAAATACCCTCCAGGTACATCCATGTTGTCACAGATGGCAAGATGCCAATCCTTTTTTATGGATGCATAGCATTCCACTGTATAGATAACATACACACACACACACACACACACCATTTTCTTTATCTAGCCATCTGTTGATGGACACTTATGTTGCTTCCATATCTTTGCTATTATAAATAATGCTACAATAAACATAGGGGTGCATATATCTTTTTGGTTAAAAAAATTTTTTTTTAATATTTATTTTTGAGAGAGAGAGTGAGCATGGACAGGGCAGGGGCAGAGAGAGAGGGAGACAGAGAATCTGAAGCAGTTTCTGCACGGTCAGCACAAAGCCCCATGTGGGGCTCCATCCCACAAACTGTGAGGTCATGACCTGAGCCAAAGTTGGACACTCAACTAAGCCACCCAGGTGGCCCACATAAATCTTTTTGAATGAGTGTTTTCATTTTGCTTGGGAAAATACCTAGGAGTGGAATTATTGGACCATAGGGTAATTCTATTTTTAATTTTTTGAGGAATCTTCATACTGTTTTCCACAGTGGCTGCACCAGTTGACATTTCCACCAGCAGTGCGTGAGGGTGCCTTTTTCTCCACGTTTTCACTAACACTTGTTATTTCTTGCATTTTGTTTTTTATTTTAGCCATTCTGACAAGTGTAAAGTTTTCCTTTACTTTTTAAAGTATGGTTTCCTTTAGTTATTTGAAGATGTTTAAAAGTGCTCCTTTGAAGTCGGCTAATTTTGACATTTGAGCCCTCTCAAGGGCAGTTTCTGTTTGTTTTTCTTCATGTGTGTGGTCACTCTTTTTTTAAAAAAATTGTTTCTTAATGTTTGTTTATTTTTGAGAGACAGAAAGAGTACGAGTGGGGGAGGGACAGAGAGGGAGAGGGAGAGGGAGACAGAACCCGAAGCAGGCTCCAGGCTCCGAGCGGTCAGCATAGAGTCCAACGTGGGGCTCAAACCCACAAAGATCATGACTCGAGCCAAAGTCGGACGCCCAACCAACTGAGCTTCCCAGGCGCCCTATGTGTGGTCATTCTTTACTGTTTATTTGCACATATCACATTTTTATTGTTGAAAACCAGACATTTTATATAATAGTTCTGTAGCAGTTCTGAATTCTGACTCCTCCAGTCCCTTACCCTTTGGCTTGTTGTTTTGGGCTTAATGTGTTTAGTCTTGTCTGGACTCTTCCCGTGAAATCTGTAGGCCTGGTAGTGTGAACCCTCTGGCGTCGGTCTTCGGAGAGCAAGCTTTGGCCATGTGTACACTTGCCCTGGGATGACGGTGGCTTTGACAGGGCTCTCTTCCACTCTTTCTTTGGTCTCTCAGGCTCTCCCTCTGTCGGTACCACAGCCAACTGGTGGGCCCTGTGGCTTGCCCTCCGAGGGCTCTATTTTTGACAAATTGTGTTGGGTGTGAATTGTTCTGGTCTTGTCTGATTAAATGCTGGCCCTTTTGCAGAAGTAGTCTTTGAAGCCAGTCTTCTTTCAGCCTCGTTCTGACCACAGGAGGGCTCTTCTTAGCTGTCTCTCTCCCTGGTTCTCTCTATTAACCTTCTAGATGGTCTGTTTGGTAGCTTGTTGCTCTCATGGAGCCAGCAGCCTCCTCATTTGTTTATCACCAAAATCTTCATTGTTTTTGACAGTGCACTCAGAGAACTTTCTCGTGATCTGTTTCAAATAAAGTCCATTTCCTTGGGGAGGATTTCAGAATTCTTCGTTCCGTGTCTCCACCACCGTGGAAAATCCTGGGCACCCTTCTCTAGAGCTGGGTGTGAGGATGCTGGCCCATTTCTTTCAGAGTGACTCCCTTGCTTTGTGACCTGGGTGCTGGGTGGGCTGGAAGCCTCTGGTCTTTTTGGCTTGCCTCTCTCTACAGGCCCGAGACCTCTGCTCGACAAGTGAACTGAGGTGAGGGCAGTAAAGCTCTAGTATTTCATCTACGCGCCCCGGTTCCACCCTCGGAGTGGGGGCTGGGTGGAGACACAGGTTCTTACCGAGATGTGGTAGATATTCTTGAATAAATGTTTCATTTCCTGCATGCCCTCAGGACATTTTGCAGCCGCTTTAAGTGGTTGTTTTTTGAGAAGTAATTTCCACCAGTTACGGTCGTGTCACCGAGGGGCAGGTCTGCGATGCCCCTCACACACTGCCTCTTCTGGGAGTGATTGCTCTGTGTGCTCTCTGCCAAAAGTCAGTCACTGGTTGTTGGGACTGTTTTTGAAAATAGCTTTTTTGAAAGAGCATATTATGTCTCGTTCTCCTTCACAAATAGATTTAAATTTATAGGTTGTGTAAGTTCTACATGAATATATGTTCTGATTTCAGTCCGAGTTTGTGGATGTGAAACCAGGTTTTTCTCCTTAAACAATATTTAGGCAGAAAATGCATATTTGATTATTTTTATTCTCTTTTTCTTTTCCATCTTCCACATGAACTTTATTGTCAGCATTTGAAATTGCACATTTCTCTAATCATGAAATTTCCTTTTCTGAAAATAAAAACATAAGCCCTTAAGAAACAATAGGATCATTGGCCCTTAAAATATACCCATGATTATCTTTAAATACATGTATACCCAATAAAATAACATCATAACAATGTTACAGAAAGAGAGTATCTGTGTCGTTTCGTACATCTTGTGTGACAATAGGTGCTATTTAATTGATTCCCACTTACTGTTCCCTTACTCCCTAGAAGATTTTCATGAACTGTCTGTTATTAGATGCTTCAAGTTTGTCATGCTCTGTTGTGGATCACGGACACTGATGGCAATTTTTTTCTGTGTCTGGTTCAGTGTTTCTACTTTTAAATTTGTGATTTGCCTCCATCCTGTGACGTCAGAAATGTAATGTTTTCGAGATGCTTGGATGTGAAAAAGCTTTGGACGACTTCTGTTCATTCGCTTTAGTTTGGTGGAGAGGGACTTTTCTCCTCATCTTCCTTTAGCCCACGCTAAGCCCATCAGGCCCCTCCGACATTGGACCCACCTCACACCCCCCGACAGACACATGGCTGCGGTTCCAAGGCATGTGCTTCGACTCCACTCTCTCTCTCTTTTCAAGCTCTTACTCTGTGGAGACTCCTGTTCTTCCTTCAGCTTTACCTCACATTTTTATTCTAAGTACGTGGTTTCCACTTTTTCAAATGACCCTCAACAGGCATGACTGCAGGTCACATACTCTGGAAGTTCACAGAAGTGACTCTGCATCCAAGGCTTTGGGGTAAAGAAGATTCACGGCTGTGAAGAGATTACTATAAAACACTATTAGTGGAGACCTACGTTGCATTTCTGATTTTAAGAGTAATAGATGCTTATTGAAAAAAAAAACCCTGATATAAAAGTACAGGTCTCCCTATAATCCCAGCCCCCAAAAGAAACACTATCAAAACGATGTAACATCTTGTGACCTTTTCACCGTAGCCCCCGCAGGAGCTTGTGGTGTGGTACTGGCACCTCCCATAGGAACAGCAGCAAGTTCCAGGGCTGTCCTGTTCACTGTAGGATCTCCTCCACACAGTGCCACGGCCCCCACTTGTACCCATATGGTCCTTCGAACGAGAACAACCTCAGGTGAAGCATCGTCTTATTATGATTTTGGCTAGTGTTGGGAGCACAGTGTTCTGTTGATGGCTTAATGGTGTGACTGAGCAAGTCCCTTGACCTCTCTGGACTTCAGTTTCTTTACCAATGACATGGAGATCATCATTGTCTTTACCTTAAAGGGTTGTAAGGTATGAATGGGACCTTATTTGTGGGAGGGGGAAACTTGATAAAATAAAAGTACTGTATATTTACAACATGCAATATTACAGCGATACAATCGAAGTGCGACTTCTCCATGATGAAGCAGCTATGCCTATATGGTGCTTCTTAGCTTATATTAAAGGCTTAATTTAGTACGTTTAGTACATGTTTTGAAATGGTAGATGGTTGTTTGTCTTTGCTTTGTCCTTTTAGAAACCTGAGTCTTACCTTTTTTGTACCTTGGGCCCCAGTCTTTGCACTGAATCCTGTCTGCATTGAGATAGGTCAATAGATTGGTTTTATCATCCTCCATACTCTACACGTAGGTCGTTAATACCCTAAATGAAGAAAGCACTTAGATTGGACTTGAAATGAGTTCTCGTTTGACATCATCTTCTATATTGGACCGTGGGTTCTCTGAGTTCTCTTACACTGAGTAAGTGACCGATCATGATGTCAGTAGATTCGTAAGCAAAGGATTGTAAACAGATAACGAGAGAGGAGGTAGAGCCAACGATCTTGTTCTTCAGATTATTAGAAGTATTAAGTAATAATAAAATACAATTTTCAGAAAGTAACGTTTTTTACCTGTTAACTAAGCCAACACTAAAAGACTGACGCCCAGCGTTGCTGAAGGTTGGCGGGATCGGTGCGCTGCCTCACAGCCACTACCGTAGGAGGCCGTGAGGCGGTTGTCCCCAGGGCTGTAAAAGCGGGGGTCACATTTGCTCTGTAGAAATCCCACTCCTGTTTACACCAGCACTTCGGAGTATTGATCACAAACGAGCCTTTCAGAGGAAGGAAACGCTTTGGATTTCATTATAGTGTTATTTGTGATACAAAAATCAGAAATGGTACAAATCTTCCGATAATCGTTACCTATAAAAATTTAGTGAACTGCTCTGCACCGACCGCATGTTGCAGTAAAGACTACGGAGCAACAGGGAGAGATGTGCATGTCGCAAATTAGTTTAAAACGAGCCATGATGATGTCTGTGGAATGTACGTATAAAAGAAGAACAGAGGGGAACTTGGAAAACTAAAACCCAGGGGGTCGGTGCCTTTTCTTTTAACATTTCCTTTGTTCCTTGGATGGTGGGCGCAGGTGCTCACTGCGGGCCCTGCGCCGCATGTCCTGTTCTCTTGCAGCGGGCTCCAGCGGCTCCGGAGGCTCCCTGTGCTCCGCCAGCGGCCGCGCGTGCGTGGGCTCCCCGCCAGGGCCGTGCTCGGGGTCCTCCCCTCCGGGAGCGGAGGCGGCTCCCGGCCTGAGATACATGCCTTATGGTGCTTCACCCCCCAGCCTAGAGGGGCTCATCACCTTTGAAGCCCCTGAACTGCCAGAGGAGACACTGATGGAGGTAGAGAAGAGACCCCTGTGGCGTGTCGCTGTAATGTCGAGAGCACGGAAGAAGGTTCTAGCAATGAGGAAAGGGCAGAATACACAAAAGTTCTGAAGCTTTTTTCTTCTCTTTAACTCACCTTGTCCTTTTCTCCTTGAAAAACATTGCTGATGTGTTTTTAGAGTAATGTTAACAGTGACACTCATCCAGAACAAGCATTGGTTGAGAGGAAGTGACACATGGAGATTTTTTTTTTTTAATCTGAAGTTTATTTGCTAGTTATGGGATTTGTAAAGCACAGTCTTTGTCCTGAAACCGTAACTTTTTATTCTCACTGCTTGCTTTTCTTCATAAGATAAAAGCAATACACTTAGGCTTATGAAATAATAAAGCATAATGCCAGATTAGTCGCACTGAGAAATAAACCTGCCAAGCAAATGCTCACATTTGTAGACCAGCACCCTCCCTCGGTGGAGCCAGTTCCACAGGGAAAAACGCAGCCTAATCTGAAGCACGCTGAACACACGTTCAGCACGACAGAAGTTAATTTTGCGACTCCAAAGACTGTGCCAGTTCAGTTCCTCAGACTCGACTCCAGGACAGCACCCAGTGGCCTACACTGTGTCCTCAGTCCCGATTACAATGCTGACTTAGCTAGCATTTCAAATTAAAATGATCAGTTCTCCGGGCCAACAGAGAACAAATTCTCTCTCCGTGCTGGACCTCCAACTAACATTTTTATTTTGCATGAATGAGAATTAAATATTTCACATAAAAGTTATAAAATGTTGCCTGCAAAATTTAGTAGTGATTGTGTAGAAGTTTTAGTTGTGATTTTGAAAATATGTACAATCCAGTCCTAAGATTGGGAAAGCAGTTTTCAGAGTTTTTTCAGTTTCCATCAAACTAGACACAAATTGTGTTCTAATACATTTTCCAGTGTATTGGAAGGTACAGTCCCATATGCTGTCAGAGAGCAGAGAGACTTTCAAAAGTTAATTGGTTTATTCTCCTTTTTCTAGGAAAATGATTCTCCTTTTTTCATCATAGAAGGAGAATGAGAAGCTTAGTCTTATTTGAGCTTTCAAAAAACATTTATAGCTAAAAGCACATCTCAAAACAACATTAATTTAGGGTGCCTGGGTTGCTCAGCCTTGGCTAAAGTCATGATCTCAGGGTTTGTGAGTTCAAGCCCTGCATTGGGTGAGCACGAGCCTGGCTTTGGGTGAGCCTCACTTCTCTCCCTTTCCTTCTCTCTCTCTCTCATTTTCTCTCTCTTTCTGCCCCTCATGGGATTCTCTCTCTCTCTCTCTCTCTCTCTCCCCCTCTCTGTCTCTCTCTCTCTCCCTCTCCCTCCCTCCCTCTCTGCCCCTGGTTCACTTGGGCCCTCTCAAAAAAAAAAAAAAAAAAAAAAAACAAAAACCCACATTACTTTTAGAATGCTCATTTTTTAAAGCATGCTATTATGTCTATATTCCCCTCTTTAAGTGAACAGCTCACAGAAATTTAGAGCTTTGGTATTAGGAGTCACTGTGAACTGAAAACTCACCAGAAATTAAAATAAAACATCTCTGGAACTCTAAGTCAGTAGAATTTACTAAACTAGCAAGAAGGGTGGTTTAGTGTAAAGAATATCCTTAAAATCCTGATGCTTATTTGGTCATGTTTTTGTCTCAAGTATGTTGATTTAATTGTTTAGTTTTGGGGTTGTCCTTGTCCTTGTTTTTGTTTTTCTGGTAAAACACAGTGACCTCATTCCTTTGACACTTAATTTTGGGGCTGCTCTCATACATACACACAAACACATGCGCATACCCACATTTGGTTTCACCTGTGTTTATTTTCTTACTAGTCTTCTGGAATTTAAAAATCTTCGTCTGTTTTGCTCATTCTGATATTCATAAGTATAGAAAAACATTAGCGCCGGCCGTGGCTTATATACAGGAAAGAGTACACGCCTCCTCTTCACTGAAAGTTTCTAAGACAAATTGGCTTTGCCACAGCGAGAACACACAGACGCCTTACGCCACCTCAGTGTGATGCTGATGTTCACCGAGTGCGTGCTGGACCTGACAGCCGCGCGGGGAGGAGACCCGGAGCTGTGCGCGTCCGCTGTCTCATCCGCCGTCTCCTTGTACCAGATCCAGGAGAGCGTGGTCGTGGACCAGATCAGCCAACTAAGCAAAGACTGGGGGTAGGTGCTCCCCAGCCATTCACTTCCGGATCCTCCATGCTTTCTGTAAGTTCACGTCTGAGATGGAGACCTTGTCGCACGCCGAGATCACATCCCATCTCAGGGCTTCAAGGGAGCCCCGAGTTGTTCCGTTGTGCGAGATCTCACTATATGAGCCAAGACTTGAAGATTCCGTAACCCTAGCGTTGCCTTCTCTTTGTATCTTACACTGTCGAAGGTATTTGGTGATAAAGGGATCGTACTGATTTTTCTTTGAGTAGACCTGTTGTGTTCAAAGCACACACACATCTTTTTCATGAACCTTCTTCCTTCCAGAGTTACTTGTGCATTAAAATATATCCAGGAGAATGATACTCCTTTAGAAATGCTGTTTTAATGGTGACCTGATGAGTAGAGAGCTGAGTCTGGCATGTGGGTCCCAGGATAACACTCTGCTGTCTTCTGGGCACAGGCGGGTGGAGCAGCTGGTGTTGTACATGAAGGCAGCGCAGCTTCTAGCCGCATCGCTGCATCTCGCCAAAGCCCAGGTCAAGTCCGGGAAACTGAGCCCATCCACGGCCGTGAAACAAGGTATGGGTGGGGCGTGACGGTCCTCGAGCTGCTCCTTTCCCCTTTGCACTGAGAGTTTGTGATGAGGAATCCCTGTGTTGGTAAATATTTGTAGGGGTGCCTGGGTGGCTCAGTCGGTTGAGCATCAGACTCATGATTTCAGCTCAGGTCATGATGTCACGGTTTATGGGATCGAGCCCCAAGTCAGGCTCTGTGCTGACAGCTCAGAGCCTGCTTG